TCTCTAAAAATAAAAATATTGTTTTGTACCGAGCGAACTATAAATGTACGTTAAGTATAGATCCAGAAAAAAGTTTTCTCTGCTAAATATAATATCGATTTTATGATCATTTCATAAAAAAAAAAAGAGAAAAAAGAAAAAAAAAGAAAAAAGAAAAAAAAAGAATAAAGGAGAATAGGACAATTTGGCTCTTTTAATTCGTCGGTTTCTAGTTAAAATTAGATAGTTTGGCAGAATTCTGCGTTTTTCTTTTTCTTTCTTTTCTTTCCTTTTTTTTTTCTTCTTGTTTCTTTTTTTTTTTTTTTTTTTTTTTTAATCGGCAAAGATTCGACATACAGTTATGAGCCGGATAATAAATTTTTGGCGGGTCATGGTGTAGGGAGAAAAAAGAAACGAAGATTCACAGAGGAGTCGTGGTGGTACTTTAAAGAACGATTCTATGGTTGCCGTGAAAATGAATATGGGGTAATAAAAGAGGGTAAAGGGCGCGGCCTTCCCTTGTTTTTGAAAGATTCGGGAGTAACGTGGTATACTTTTATGACCCTTGTCAAGAAGCAACTTCTTCGTCGAAAAAGAGAAAGAGAAAGAGAAAAAGTGAGAGAGAGAGAGAGAGAGAGAGAGAGAGAAGAACGCGTACTCCTAAACTCACTGAAACAAATGTAGTCGAATGCCTGCCTATTTGCATACTCATTGTACCGTAAGTGCTTCACCCTAACGGCGTGCGGTCGCGCGCTCATAACAGGATACGTTTCGATGACGTAGACGAAAGTGGAACGAAAATCGGGAACAAGTGGATTGTCGCGAATATTTCTGAAATCGTTAGCTATCTTCCTGCCTTTGTAATAGTAGGATTATTTTAGTTTCGCCACTACCGATCGAGTTGAATTAAATTTTTTTCCCCATTTTAAGATATCTCATATTTTTTTCTCCATTAAGCGTATCACACCTTCCCCCCCCCTCCCCACCTCACCCTCACCGCCTTTCACCGAATCTTTGTTCGTTTCTTCCTTTGGTAAAGTTCTTTTTCGATTAGCAAATTTACGGCGATTAACTGACACGTAGAATGAAATGTGGATAGATAAAAGATTCGAAAGTAGGAGTATGCTAAGTCACTTCTATCATTTCAAATCATTATAAAAAATATTTCAGCATTTTGCTTGTTAGACTTTTGAAAAAAAAAAAAAAAAGAAAAAAAGAGAGAAATACGAGTTTAATGTTTGCCACTTCTTGTTTACGCAAACTTATTTAATTCGTCCTCGATGAACGATTTATCGTATGACAAACGAGAAGATATTTTTATGATCCCCTCTTAATACGTTTCCGCGTTGGAGTTTATCGTAATTTAACGAGACGGTAATTCCCAGTAGACTTTTCTTGCATCATCGGATAAAACCTACACCGCAAAATATATATCTGCGGTGAAGATAAGTCTACGGTGAATTTTTATTATTTCGTTCGAGCATCTTCTTTTACATGGCGATAAGGCGAGAGAAAAATTATGTTACAACGCAAAAAAAAAAAAAAGAAAAAAAAAGAGAAAAGAAAAAAAAAAGAGAAAAAACAAAAGAAAAAACAAAAATAAATACAAACATTTCAGTCGATATACAATATAAGAGAGAAAAAGATCAGAAGCGAGAAAAATTTTGAAAAAAAAATTTAATGAATTCGCCGACGTCAAAAGTAGTACTTATATTGTAAGAAGATAGAAGGGGGTAAAACGTAAAGGAAGGTTCCCGAACAAAAACGTGGTAGGCGCGTCGCAAATGGCAAACTTGAAAATGGGGAACTCGTTGCAATTAATAATATCGGTAATTGGTGTACGCACGGCGCGTGATGCTGAACTTCAAAGGTCATTGCCTGGCAGCGAGTTTAATTAACGCAATCGAATGAAAATATTCGTGCTCGTGCGAGGGTGTGCGCAAAATATGCACGCGAACAAAAGTACGTGTGTATATTACGGCCGATAATCTGCGTACGTACGCGTCTACGAGTGTCTGCGTATGAGAGTGTGCTCGTTTACGGTACGCGAGGAGAGGAACGCGATCGCGGCTAGTCGCCAACTCATTATGCAAAAGTTCGTTGCATTCCCGCAATTTCAATATTCGTTCAATCCCCGAAAGGTTCGAAGCGTTAAATCGTGGCATTGACCCAGATGCACTTTTCGTATGTGAATGTATAACTCGCGATCTCGTTGTTTAAATTCACGTTTGATTCTTAAACGAATGAGAGAAAGAGATAGATAGATAGATAGATAGATAGATAGATAGATAGATAGAGATAGAGATAGAGATAGAGATAGAGATAGAGATAGAGATAGAGAGAGAGAGAGAGAGAGAGGGGGAGATAAAAATATAGGTACATATACATCTATATAAGATATCGATAATCATTTTCCTTTTTCGTCATTCCCGCATTTCGTCAAACTTGCATAACACTCTCGAAGCGATTGAAATAGAAAAGGAAATAATAAAAGTCGCCTACTCTCTTAATCAATTCGTCAATAATATCTCTTTTCCTGTTAGCGAGACTCGTTACAAAACACGCGAAGCTCTCCTGTTATATGTATACTTCCTTTTTTCCATCCTTTAGCCTCTCATTACGACGCGATACAACCCCACCTTCGTTTGTTCTGTCCCTTACATAAGCGGTCAGGATCGTTCGATTTCGATGGGAAGCAAATCCGTCTTTTTCTCTTCGTCGGCATTTATTATCGGAGAAGGACGAACGCGAAACTAACGTCGTCCCGGAAGTCAACGATGCTTTCTGTCAGCGACTGCGAATCGCGATTACTAACGATACCTCTTTTCCTCCATTGCCCCTCTTTCTCTCTCTCTCTCTCTCTCTCTCCCTCTCTTTCTCTCTCCTTCTGCCCCATCGCAATTCTCTTTCTCTCTCTCTCTCTCTCTCTCTCTCTCTCTCATCTCTATCTATCTCTTACCCTACAATTGTCTCCTCGAGGATGGCAGTGGATGCTCGCACGGTAATTGCGAATCGAGGTAGAGTCGTTAATGCGTCATAGCGTGCGCGTGCGATCTCCAACTCGCTGACGTCTGACGATAAAGCGCAGTCACTACTAAGGCGTGGGAACGAGATGAGGTATGCGCGCGGACATTTTTAACCTTCTTTTTCTAACTTATAAGTATTAAGGATTTCAAGAAAATTTTTAAGGATATTTCGATTGGTACAGAATAGAAAAAAAATTTCTCTTATCGATTATAAATAATATTTTTCATTCTAAAATGTAAAGAATTTTAATTGGGTGTTAATATCAGGAAAAAGCATTTATCGGGTTATCGACGCGTCACTAATCGTAAAAGGAACGCGGAACAACGAAGATCAGCAATGATGCGTAAGGGACGCGCTTAACTGTAGAATTTCTAACGGTCATGCTTCGGTAAAAAGGCACACGCTGAGTGTTACGAGAGCATAGACGAAGATAGGTGCGAATTCATGCGTGTCCCTCACATCGATAGGTATAATGCTTCTCGTGCGTTGCGAGAGTCTTCGAACGTGGTGCGTTAACAACGACGTCGCATAAGCCTTGCGTATCGAAGCAAGCCAATGAGCCATAGAAAGAGAGAGAGAGAGAGAGAGAGAGAGAGAGAGAGAGAGAAAACTGAAGAAGAAAATGAGAATGATACAAGAAACAAGAGAAATGTACATACATACATACATACATATATATACACTTGCATGTAAATATATTGTACAAAGAGGAAAAAAAAAAGATAGAAAAACAGAGTGAAAAAGAAATGATAAGATAACAAAATAAAAAGAGAGGAAATGGACGAAACATTTTTAACACGCAAAGATGCATCGTAAACAGTGCACATGGACTATATTACCCTATTTATTGGAAGTAAAAGGTTGAGAAAAGGATGAAAGGACATGTGACCTATCATCGACGTCATCAACGTCGTCGTTGACTCGAATGGAAGGAACCAGTCATCTCGTTCCCACAGAGAAATGTATACTAATTAAGGCACGCATTGTCAGGAACACTGTGCGAAGAAGACATGCTAATTACATCTCGAAGATGTCTTTTTTTTTAAGCCGCGTCCCTTCTTTTCGTCAGGGCAGCCCGTTCCACCTTTCCTCTTCTTTTCTCCTTCCTCAACGCTCGCCTCCACAGACTTCGAGGTGAATGAAGCGCGAATCTCGCGCCCGCTTTCTTCTCTTCGCATGAAAGGGAGTCTTTTTCTCTTTCCACGTCTATCTCTTTCTCTCTCCCTTTCGTACGCACGACACACGTCAGTTCTCTCGCTGGTGTCTCACACGTGTGTATCTTATGCGAATCGACGTCGACTCGTTGCGCATACTCTCAGACCTTCCACGCTACATTCTCGGCATTGTGCGCGTCACACACGTGATGCTACGACGTTTCACTCCGTCGCTTTATTCAATCCTTTATACCTGCGAGTGACTTTAATAGTCCTTCTATTACGTCGCCAACTTTTTTACCCCCACCCCTTTTTCTTCTTCCTTTTTTTTTCCTTCTTCTTTTCCCTTGAAAAGGGCGCGGAGTTGTTTCGCATTAACATCACGCTTATCTGCTTAATAAAGAGCCTCCACTTTTATTTCATTCGAATTGATCGTAAGCGTACGCGAGTACGCTTAGAATCGCGGTCTCGACACGTTAAACGAAAAGTCGTCATCAAGAAATCGTATTAGATAGATAGAAAAGAGTTTGTTATACCTATAATGAGCCATTACTACGTCCTATTTATCGGCGAACTTTAATCATTTATGTTTAGAAAGGAACATGCATATCGTCGATTCGGCGAAATCGTACAGTGATTCAATGCTCTCATGAAAAAGGTCGTAATTGATATCGCAACATTATCCGTATCTTATCTCGGCTTGATCGCGCTTCGTTAGCATGCACAACGATATTACGAATAATCGAACGTATAGCCATGGGTTAGGTCACTTCGAAAGAATTAGAATTCTAATAGATATTAACAGGGGGCCCGTTCACCAATGCGAAATTTGTGTTATAGATTGACGAATGACGCCGTAACCGTGGGCTGGTTGGTGCTCGGATATCAGAACACGGAAGGTAAGTCGAGAAAAATTCTAACTTTCGAGATTTTAACGCGATGATAATAATTGCATTTCTATGATTATGCGATTAATACGATCGATTCGATCGATCAAAAGGTACGCACTTATTTTAATTTCTCTGATAAAATTTATAAGTATGAATTTCTTTCAAATATATATCAAATGGATAATTTAAAAAATATCTTTACATAAGAAAACTTAGGAAGGAAGAAACGAGAGAAAGAAGTAGTTCACTGATATCTACTTCTTTTTTTTACCATCTATTCTGCATGCACGTACATACACGTATAAAACGTACTAACAAGTAAGAGAAAACACATAAGACGGCAAGCATGATCAAAAGATCAGGTCAAGTTGCATATCTATACCTTTACGCTTCGTTAGGCGTTCCTTTGAGGCGAATACATTTCCTACGTGCGTCCGCAAAAAAAAAAAAGAGATAAGAAGAGTGCGAGAAAGGGTGTGGGAAAAGAGTCGACGATCTCATAGACAAAAAACTAAGTGACCGCGTAACATCGCACTTTGATTCCATCCCTCTTCTTTCGTCTTCTTTTTAAAACTTTTGTACGCCGTCCTCCCTATAGGATTGCTCGGGCAAAGAGCCGAGGTCTTTCGACTCGGCTATACCGTGTAGAGTAAGAGGAGTTGGAATGTGGATGAGACGTAGGAGGACGAATAGAAGGAGGAAGGGGTGAATGCTTAGAATTTAAAATGCATTTCATATCGTTACGTAGCACCGACTTGCTCGTCGTTCTTCTTCTCTCTCTCTCTCTCTCTCTCTCTCTCTCTCTCTCTCTCTACCATTTCGAAGACTCTCGTTTCTCTTGGCCTCTCCGCTCGAACAGACGGCATATATATCTTTATGAACGCATCTGGAGTAGACAAGTGCATTAAAACCTCGGGCGTTAGTTCAAGCTTGAAGAGGGAGGAGGAGGGTTGGGTTGTAGGAGGGTAGATGGAGGGCTCAGGAGGACACACAAAGGAATGCAAAGTAAGAACCACCGGGATCCCTTCCTCTCTTTCTCTTTCTCTACTCTCTCTTCTCAACGTCGCTCTCTTCGTCCCTCTACACCCAGTCGTCTCCATCCGAGCTGGTATCACCGTCGCCTCTTCCTCCAACTCCATCCATCTCCACCTCCTCCGCAGAACGCGCCGGCTCCTCTTCCTTTACCGTATCGCTTCTCCCGTGGCGGAGGTTACAACGCATTATCATACAAGGCAGCCCTTTCCTCCCCTTCCCTTAATTGTTTTCCGCTGAGCTGCGTCGCGAGCGAGTTCTACCACCACCACTACCATCACCACTACCAACGATGCCGCTACTACCACCATCGTCTTCTCCTTCTTTTTTCCCAACCCTCTTCTAACCTCTTCTTCTTCATCTTCTTCTTCTTCTGTTCCATCGTGATCACCTGCTGAGAGAACGAAACGACGCGGTAAGTGTATATTTTTTTTCTTTTTTTTCCCTTTACGAGCAAACGTTACTCCTCCTCGTCTTCTTTCCCCTTCTCCTCGAACAAGAGGCGAGGCAACGAGCGTGGGTGGTCACTCTCGGAGGGTGCCGAATTTCGCTCTTTCAACACCAATCGACGGTCCCGTAATAGTCGACATCAAAGGATCGCGAAGCTTTGTGCATCGATAATGGTGAGACTTTTCTCTCGAGCCGGTGCGAGAGTCGCCTACTCTCTCTCTCTCTCTCTCTCTCTCTCTCTCTCTCTCTCTCTCTCGAGGACGTCCTTCCGTATTCCTTTCGGTATTTCGACTACAGACTTACTCCTTTTCTTATTTAATTTATTCTCCGCAAGTTTTCGCGCCTTTTGCTGATCGCACCAGCACACTCTCTCCTGATTATTCCTTCCTTTGGGTGGTTGAGGGTTCTTCAACATTACGAATATCTCTCTCTCTCTCTCTCTCTCTTTCTCCCTCTCTCTACCGCGCGCACGCTCCAGATCTTTCTCACCCCCTCTTTCTCTCGCCTCGTAATAACGATCGCACTTTATCTTGACACGAAACACTCTTGATATCTTTTATACTCTTTCGTTTTCTTTCTCACCGCGATGGGAAGCTCCCGAGTATCGCTGATAAGGAAATCGATCGAGAGCCAATGATAATGGCGATAAGGTTCCAAAGAGCAAACCTTATCGCCTGTGAAATTACTGAACGCAAACGCGACGTTCCGCGCAACTAATGTTCGTTCCTTCAAGTTCCATATCGACATATGTTTAAGATGGTGCCAGTTCAAGCGTGATTAACCCCATCAGAAACGGTGTAACATTTCTCAAACTCTCGTTAAGGCACTTCGATTAGACTGGATTTGTGTCCGCCCTATTTTCGGACAATTTCAATAGCCCAATTTACAAAACCTCTTCTTCGTCGAAACGTGAGAAGTTCGGGTAATTATTCTGTTAATTGGCTAATTTTTGATTTTTATCAACGTTAATTTATTTGGAGTAAAATGCTGTAGGTAAATTAATAAATGGCAAAAAAAAATTGAAAAAAAAAAAAACAATCGGAAAGCAATTTTGTCATTTGGTAATGAGCGAGAGAAAAAAAAAATCATTTTCATTTGTTAGTTCCCAAGGGTCATCCGGATCTCATTCAAAAAGACGAACAAACTGTAAGTATATATTTTTTTCATTTCGTCGTTCAACGATCCTTCCGTTTTGTATATCGTACCGAGATATCGTACAGCCGTCGCGACGCTAATTAATTTTCCCCAACACTTTGCAAGTCCTTAATCGATGTCAGTCAATTAGTAACGTTGAATATATTATTAGCTGTGGTCTGAGCTGACGTATAATTCGTCATGATTTTTCTAAATGTTCTTAAATCTAATAGCTAAACAATTGTTCTTAGATCTTGTTCTTTTTATTCGATCGTGATAGAAACGTTTACTCTTATATAGAGATTATATCGTTTAACTATATAAGAAAAATAACGTTAGAAAAGTATCAAGTACTTGATTAGTTTTAAAAGATCTCATAAGTCATTTATTTTACAAACTATATAAAGATAATAATATAATATGCATATGTAATATTGATTTTTCATCAATTGTCCCTAATTAATTAATTCAATCGTATATCTTCGTAGAAAAGGAACAAATAATTTTGATCGAACTTATAAGCGGGTGCGCCGCTTATGTCACGATTTCGAAAAGGGAGATACGTAAGTCTCGCGCGAAAAGAGACGCATAAGTGCGCGAACGCGTGACCAGCTTTTGTCGAATGCGAGACGAGGCGAATCGAGGCGAATAAAAGAGGAAAGAGAGAGAGAGAGAGAGAGAGAGAGAGAGAGAGATCGAATGGCCGGCGAGCAAGAGGAGAATGGCGAAGGACAATGGATCGCATCGGCACGTTCTTCCGGAACGATCCTTCTTTTTTTTCCACCTACGCTTACATTTTATGCTGCGTGCGCACATAAAGCATACATACATAGACATATTTTATAATGCTATGCTAGGTACCTCACCCATGAGATTAGTTAAGTAAATGGGGCTGGATGTTCGCTGACTGGGCCTCTCCTAACGTGATTGGGCCCCGACCGATTCACCGGTACGGCCAATCGTATACAAGGGAGTCACTCCGTCAGTGAAAAAAGAAAAACATAAAAAAGAAATAAAGGACTCGCTGAAGCTGAGCATCGGTACGTTGCGACACGATTCGCACGCGATCCATGCGATAAATCATACGACGGAAGTCTTTCGAAACGGGAAATGTCGTTCGGTCGACGTGCGATATTGTCTTTTTCTCGTTTTTCTTTTGTTTTTTCTTCCTTTTTATTTTTTCGTTTCTCTCTCTCCCTCTCTCTCTCTCTCTTTCCCCCTTTTTCTTTTTTTTTTCTTTTCGTCATTCAAAGGGTCGAAGGATTAAGGACAAAGTTCGTCGTAGAGTCGTTCAATATCGTTCATTTTCTTTTTCAGTATGAGGATGCAGGTAGAATTTGACAAATCGTCGGTCGCGTAGGTGGACGTAAGTGATTCCTATCGCTACGTTTTCTAAGAAAAAAAAGAAAGAAACGAAGATAAAAAGAGATATTAATCGTTAAAGTTGAGACTGCTTCGCGTGCAAATCGTTTCAATACTACGTTGTCCATTCGCGAGGTTGTTTACGTATAAAGTGCAGACCGTTTCCGTCGCGAATAGATTTCCACCGTCCTTGGTCGTTCTCCGCAAAAGGAAAATAAATACTGTACGGAGCAAATGAAATTGCCATGCGGCTTTGCACGCGATCCAACCGATAATTAACGCGAAGTAGGACTCACTTTCTCTCTATGTCTGCGATTGACGTTTGAAAATCGTATAGTGATAGTCATTTTCCTAATCGCGAAAAAACAACGATGTGTGGTAGTAGATAGGTAAGATAATTCGGCATGAAAGGATAAAAAGCTGCGTTTTACGACAAATGAAAATTAAACAAAAGAAATAGAAATAAACATATGAAAGAAATATGCAAATACTTTTTCGAGCGGATAATGAAACATGTTAAAAGTAACATATCGTTCTATAAAAACTTGAGTAGTGTTATAAAAATTTTATTATTATTTTGTTTTGAAAGAGCTTTCCTCGCGAATAACGCTGAAAAAATTCGCTTCGTATTATTATTATTGTTCTTCCTTAAAACTACAGAATATCATAAAAAGATTCAAATACCTCGTATGTATCTATCGTCTCTCTCTCTCTCTCTCTCTCTAGGAAGAGAAATACACAAGATTAATAGTACACATGCGTAAAGACACGTATGTACGTATATATGTGTACGTGAAATTACGTGACGTGCGTGTCTCATGAGTGCATGTTTGCTAGACTCGATCAGCCCCTCGACACGGGAGAGGAAGGAAAAGAAAGAGGAACAGAGACAGTCGTTGTATCAGCTCTTTTTGCAGATTCATTAAAAATTAAGTTGATCATTATTAAGAATTTACTACATCTAATGAAAGTACCTGATCATTGTAAATGTATGAATTTCTTGCTTTCATAAAGATCGATCTTTTCGAACA